CACCCTTACATCTTCTCTTCTCCAGACTGTACAGTCATAGTTCTTTCGGCCTATGATCATAGGTCCTATTTCCCAGAACTCTAGTCATTTTTATTGGTCTCTACTGGATTCTTTCTAATTTGTTCACATGTTAATGTGAAACATCATAACTGGACACTGTACCAAATTCCCTTAGTACTGAGGTCTCCCTAGTGCCAAATGGAGAGGGAAAACCACTTATCTTGATCTGCAAGTGATGCTTTTCTTAATACAGCTCAGTATGCTGCTGGCCTTTCTTGCAACAAGAGCATGCTATTGCTTCATATACAGCTTATAGTTCACTAGACACTCCAGGCATTTTTCTGAAGTATTTCAACCTAGCTAGTCTTTCCCCAATCTGTGTGTGCATGTGCAATTGCTCTCTCCTAAGTGTAGGACTTTACATATGTCCTTGTTCAATTTCATTTGACAAAAGCAAATGAATTGAACGTTAATTCATTCTTTGGTTTCTTATCCTCCATTCAGAGGTGTAACAAACAGTTTTTGTACCTTGGACAGCAGCAGCAGTCAAGGCAGCAGCAGCAGCTGTGCTGCCAGCATCAATCTTGTGCCCTCTCTAAGTTGGGGCTGATGCTCTGCTTGCCCACCACCCATAGCTATGTTACTTCCTTCATTAGAATATTTTTCAAATGATGTTTCTGATCATTAAAGTCTGTGTATGACTTCAGTGACCCAGAATTAATTTTGCCACTAAAAATGTATGTGTATTTGTCTCTGTAAAGGATGAGATCAAAGTATATTAAACATTTATCTACTTAAGCATTAGACACACTTGGGATTTCTAAAACATTCTTACCGTTCAGCTAAAGCATGCTTAGGATTTCTGTACCACAAGCTAAACATTATGTTTGCCTTACTTCTAGGTAGCAAGGCAGGAAAGGGGTCAGACAGGCAACAAATAGCACACAAGCAAAAGTGCATGAATCCTTGCACAGAATACATGAAGGAAAAAGATACATCTGACCAATGAGAGTATTTAAAAACCAATATTATATGCAACTAAGTGCAACAGGGAACTCTTGTCCTATTACTAGAAAATGGCATTTTCTAGTCTGGGCTCAGGGCTGACCCCTTTGAGGGCAGGGTCTTTATAACACAGGCACAAGCAGCAGCAGAGTGGGGGCTAAGGAACAGCCCTGTAGTCAAGTCAGCTGATGGGATGCTCATGACCAGGAAGGGGCAGGGCTTGAGTGAAATATAAGCCAGAGCTGGAGCCAGGGCAGTCAGTCTGGCCCTGAAAGCTACAGGGGAAGGAGCTCTGGTGCAAGGAGGCTAAAGGCAACTGCCTGGCTGAGGGGAGAGGCCCTGAGACCTGCAAACTAGATGTCTATGGCCTGCAGGAAATAAGGCCCAGTATGGGAGACAGTCTGGTGAGTGAAAGTTTGTAGTGAGACCTAGCATGGAGGATAGTTTTCTGTTGTAGCCAGAGGGCTTTTTGTGTTATGTTGTGATGTAAACTGGTGGTTTGGAAGAACTGTGAAAGGTGTTTTTTGGAGGTCCCATTAATACCCTATGGGCACATGATTGCCTTGAGCCCTGCTAGGGGCGGGCTCAAGGCACAGTCACAGCACCCAGAGCCTGAGGAAGGGCAGAGCATGGGGGCCACAGGGACCAGAGCCCTGTAGGGGCAGAGCATGGGGCTAGGGCCTAGAAATCAGGTCTACAACAGTGGGCCTTGGTTAAGGGGCCAGCCAGAGTAGAGGCACAGAAGCCAGGAAGGCTGAAACCCCAAAAAGAGAATGAAGGCTTAAGGTGGCTTGGTGACTTAGGGACAAATGTCTCACCTGACTGCTGAGTCAAAACAGCCATGAGGCATGGGGCATGGTATAGGGATGAATGGAGTCATGCAATAAGCCCTTAAGGCAAGCAAGGTCAAGAGAGTTGACCACTGGACAAGAGAGGGCACCCTCCCCTTCATGAAGTTTCCATCAAGACATGTCAGGCAAGAAGGCAAGACAAGACCTTGAAAGACAGTGCAGAGAGAGAGCCTAGCAGGGATGAGGGGGCCTGTAGGTGGCATCACAATGGCCCTTAGGCACCTAAGCTGTTACACTAAGGCTACACTAAAAACTAGAGGTAATCTGTCTGCAGTGCACCAACTTCTTTAGGATGCTTAAGTCAGCCACAATCCATGCTATATAGTGTATATGCCTATTTTCTGCTGCTCTTCTTCTATGGCTCAAAATTAGCCTATAGATAGTTTGCTTCCTAGGGTTTCCCCAGGCTTGCATAAGTTGCCAGAGTCTAGAAGTTAGAAATACTTTTTGAACTCAATACCTTTATACATTCACCAAATCAATGCTATAAACAGTCACATGAGAAAAAAATAGTATTATGTTATCTCAATTAAAATTTCTCAACATCCAAATTAGCACTGAAATAGTCTGGTAAATTAAGAGCTTTTTTCACGTGACAAATATTTCTTAGCAAATGACTCACCCTCCTTCTTCAGAATATTTGTGACCAAATGCAAGGATGTCAGATGCCCGGCCGCTGCCATCGCATATCACAACAGGAACAGGTGGAGTGTCTCGTAGGTACTCCAAAACAATAGAGATAACATTGGGACCTCCTTCCACAATAAGTGCCACCACTGGAACTCCCTGTCCAATTCCTGGGGTGAAGAAAACAAACAAAACAAGCAAACAAACAAACAAAAAACAAAAAAAGGAAAAAGAAAAAGAAAAAAGGAACAAAAATGCAAAGCCAGCAAACCAAACAAAACAACAGAAGAAAGAGAAAACCCAGCCTGAAATTACTTCATATTGACTGTATGCCAGCATATCAGAAGAAATGGTATTAAGAGATTCATAGACAAAGGCAAGAAAAAAGCATTGTGATCTTCTAGTCTGAAGATCTATTATTCACTTCTATCTGGAATAATATTATACTACTGAATCATAAATTCAAAAAGGTAAGAATGATAATCCATTTTTCAAATAGAAACTTAAAATAGGACTTTTTCTATTGCTGAAGTGGAAGCATAAATCGGATATATCTAGCAGTTTACACACTAAATTACAAGAATAACTCACTATTGAGTGCTTGTAAGGGAACAGAGTCATTTTATGAGTTTGACTAATTTTTTTGTTGCTACCAAGCAAAAAGGCATATTACTTTAAAATGACTTCTAGTTCAATAAAATTGAGTATGTACTATAATAATTGAGTCTTTCCTGCCCACATGCGGGGAGACTGGACCTGATTATGTGAAAGGTCCCTTCCAGGCCCTAACATCTATGAAACTATTGCCAGCTGAACTTAAGGATGTTAACATTACCATTTTAGGATTCCACTTCTAGTCTCCTGGCTAATAGAGCAATACCAAGCTTTATAAAGACTACAATAACTGGGGTTGTCCTTTTCTTCAGTTTAGCACTCTTTGCTAGAAACTTACCTTCCAATTATGAACAAAAGCTACCATATATATAATGCTAATAAAGAGGTGATTATCCCTAGTGAAATCAGTCACTGCAACTATGTACTACAACTGTAGAAGAACAATAGCTGTGCCAATTGTGTAAACTCTAGAGAAACATTTATTTGTGGTTTACAACATGAACAGAGTTTAAAAGGGAAGTAAATTACTTTGAACAGTAATGCATGAGAAAAATGCTTAGCTGATTTCTCTCAAAGGATATGGTCAATAAAAGGTCAATTCATGATGGCATGATGCAGATTAGAAAAAAATTATTACAGCAGATCACACTACCCTGGAACTATGCTTTCCTATATGATGACCTACTGAATCCATTTTATTTTTATCAAGTTATATATCCTAACATTGCTTAAAAATTACCATTTTGATAGTTTTGGTTTGCTGAGGAGGATATTTCTTTCTTAAACTTCTATTCTCAAAAGTAAAAAACACGAAAGATCACATCTTTTATTAAGGACAACCACAGAGAAATATATTAAACAAATGTTTCTCTGAGCAAAAAGAAAAGTGAAAAAAGGGATCCATATAATTCAGGACTGTTGGGCTGACCTTCATTATAATTCTGAAGAAAAGACCTAGCAGCTAGTGGAACAGATAAATAGCAGAATTGATTTGGGAGTTTAGTGAATGTGCATGTTTTTTAAGGCAAGGACAAGCACAAGACAACTTAAGTGGGAGAGCACAGAATGAGAAGGAACAGTGAAGAAGCTGTAGAATGCAAGTTGTAATGAAGTGAGTGCCTGTTAGACCATATACAAATAACAAAGTACTCACTGATTGAGCCAGTGAAAAAGAAGACAAGCTTGTGACTTGAGATGATGCAGTTCAGATATGGTTTTGATGGAGCAGAGGAAAGAATACACATGAACAACTGAGAGTTTGAAGACAATCTTGGACAAGAGGACCTTGAGAAGGAAAGACCCCTAAATGAGGAGAATGACCTATAAAACATCTAAACACAAAGAAAGAGACCAACTAGTGAAGAAGAAAAAGTTCAGTAAGTGTTTGCTACACCAGAAAATAAAGTGGAGAAACAGAAAGAAACAGAAGATGGGGTGGCAAGAAAGAAGACTGTGCAGCTTCAGAAGAGACGAGCCAATGGAAATAGCCAGAAACCAAATCCCAAGCAAGGAGGAGGACAACATGGAAAAGAATGTGAGACAGAACAAGAATGAGACCTTTTTTCAGGGCAAAGAATGAACACAAGAGTGGAGCATCACACAACACCATGAGGACATGACTGATCCATGTGATGTGGGACTGCTTGTTAAGAAGGGACAGGATAACTCCATGGCTTAACAATGTGAGAAACTGTCATTTATGTGGCTTACTGGCATCACATATTACACGTGCATCAGTTTTGGGGGTTTTAGATGAGTATGCATTTTTGAAAACTAAACTACATCTGGATATAGTTTAGCTTGCAATGATGCATTGCAGCTATTAGTCTGCTCTCCCCCTGGCCACAGAGGAGGTTGTCAGGCTCTGCAGAAAAAAGGGATCAGGCCCCTTGCTGCTTCAGCAGGCATCTGCTGAAGGCAGAAGTGGTGAGGGGCCTGATCCTTTCCTCTTCATTTTTTTTGGCGGAGCTTGCCTGCCTCTCCTGTAGCCAGTGGGTGAGCTGCCAGCAGGCTGAGTGGTCCCTTTGCTGCGGGGGACCCTGGTCCTTCCCAGTGGCAGCACTCCCTGGGACCACCTGGGCAGGCTGCTAGTGGGCTGGGTGCTGCCTGAGCTTAGAGACAGCACCTGGCCTGATCCAACTGTTCACCAAGCCTGCCTGCTGGAAGCCTGCCAGGCACTGCTTCCCTGGCAGGCTCAGGGAATAGTTGGATCAGGTTGGGTGCTGCCTCTGAGCTGAGGCATCACTCGGACAGCTAGCAACCCACACGGTTGGCCCTGTGGGGTGCTGCTGCCATGGAGGGAAGGACTGGAGCCCCCTGCAGCTCAGGGGCCACTTGGCCCATCAGCAGCTTACTCCTCTGGCTGCGTGTAGGCTCTGACTCCAACAACAACAACAACAACAACAACAACAACAAAAGGAATCAGTTCCTCGCTGTAATGTGACAGAAAAAGTGAAATGGTGGGTTTCAATTAAAAACTCACCATTTCAATTTAGGGGCCATTGAATTAAACCCTCTGGACTAAACCCCAGTCACATGTAGAAGTGCCCAAGAACCTTAGTTACTGATTTACATAAGGCAAAACCACTTTTGGGAAGGATGGTAAAAAAAAAATTACTGAGTTCGCTAGTACTGGGAGTTTGCTATAAATCCCCAGGATTGGGTTTGTATATGGACAGGGATATCCATCTTGTTATTACAGACCTAAATAATATGAGGTATTACATTATTATAGAAGACTAACTTTCCTGATATAAAACAGTGAACAAAGGCAATTAATGGTGGAATGGATCTCATTTGTCGCTTATTTCCTTCAGGAATATCTTCACTGAACAGAAGTGATATTATTTTAAAATTGGTTTGGATATGTAATGACAATATTATACTGGTTAATGAAAATAATTTCTAAGCAAGTGACCACAAGTTAATTCAGTTTAGATGTAAAGGAAAGGCACAAAAGTCAAAAAGTAAGGTTCTTGATTTCAAAAGAGGGAACTGATATTTTTACCATTGTTCACCTAAAATAAAGGCCAATTGATATAATAAAGGCCTTTTGACATAAGTAGCTTGACTCTTGCCCAGCAATGGGTGTTGTTTATGTGAAATGCAGCTTTGCTAAATCAGGCTGAATTAAGAATACTAAGAAATTCGTCAAGAAGAGAAAAACAATGAATAGTAAGAATTGGTTAAGAACAGGAAAACAATATATGGTCTTGAGCAGATAGGGATCCTCTAAAGCAGGGCAAACCATAGGAGAACTAGCTTTTGCTATAGAAATATGTGACATAAATACATGACCATAAAAAAAGTGTGTGTTAAGATAAGATAATAAAGATGGGTAAACATGATGGGTATAAAATTGGGATGTAGCTTTAATTCATGGGCAGCCTGCTCTGAAGACCCTTGACATAGACTCTCTCTTGGTCTGAGGACCTAACTTGCACAAGAAACTAGATGTAAGAACTGGAAACCCCTGGACAAGACCTCATGGACTGATCAACTGCTGATGAAGGGTGACCACCCATCTCTAAGCGGGCAGGACAATCCTGGAATGGGAATCTCAGGTCCCAGTCCTAGGCTGCATGATTATGGGGCAGCATTTGTCTTGCATTTAGAGCATTGTGTGGAGAATCCACAGGAAATGGTGGGTTTGCCCTTGCAGGATGGAAGCATTTCAGCCTGCAAGGGGCTGCTTGGGGCTGCTGGGAGCAGGACACAGGGGGCACCATGTACATGTATGCTCCTGCAAACATGAATGTGGCTGAGAATACAGCCAGGAAGCATGAAGAGCAGCTCCCTACTGGTAAATCTACAGGAGGGAGGGTTGGGGGCATACACATGGAGGGCATACACAGGGAGGGAGGGTGGGAGAGGGCATAGCGAGGAAGGGGGGCACACTGAGGGATGGAATGTGGCAGGGGCTGGAGGCACTGCCCAGCCAGGGTGGTGCATGAGGCTGGGGCGTGGAGCAGGACTAAGCCATGGATGACTTGTACAGGTGGCATGGGGGAGTGGCACCCTGCCTCTATGTGCACCCTCCAAGGGGGGGACACATGCTCCCCCAGATTTGTGTGTGGGATGGGGGCAGATGTGGGCTTCCTGTTGCCATAGCAGCTCAGGGCTCCTGAGGGGACAGCACCAGGGCAGGGAGTTCCAAGCCTGCAATGTGCCCCCTGCCCACACAGCAGCTGCAGGGCTGGTGGCAGCATAGAGTTGTACCCATGGCTGCTGCCAGGTGAGCAGGGGGCATGCAGCTGGTGCAGAGATCATGAGGAAAGGACAACAATGCGGGGAGCCACAAGTCTGCAGCGGGCAGTCCACATCCACCCCACCCTGCTTGGCTTTTCTCCGGCTGTGCCACCCGCGGAGGTGGGGTGAGGGGGGAGGTAGGCATGTGTTTGGCTTTTACATTTTAAAAAAAGGTGATCACCCTATGCTGAAGTCGTATTTGTTATTTCTTAAGGCAGTGAGCATATAGCTGTAGACTTCATTATATTGCAGTAGAAGGTATCCATAGTACTTTATATTTGTATTAGTTTTGAAGAGATAATTAACA